TATATATATATATAAACTAAATACTAAACACTATATTAACTAAATACAAAATACTGAAATAGCTTAAACTACATAAAAATGAACTATGTTAGACATAAACACTCAACTATGAGAGGCAATGAAAGACTAAACACCTCCATGAGATGCTCCGCATTTGGTTTTATGCTGTTCTTACAATCCAGCATCATATTTCCTCTTCCTATCTGATTTCTCTATGCCATAATTAGAGCATCAAGTTTAACCACTAAGCCAGAACTGATATAATATTCCAACCCCTGATTACAAACTCCCCATGAAAGCCAAATGACAGCATATCAAAGCAATTACTCTTGATATTAAAATATTTTGAATTAGGTTTTAATGTTTATATATATTTTATATGTATATTTTTTATATCATGTTATCATTTTAGTATTAGTTACAGTTTTAGAAATTTAATTTTGTGTATGTATGTAAATATTTATTTATATGTTTATATATTTATTTAAGTCTATTTAGTTTTTGTTAAGGTTTAGGTAGCAGTTTATTTAGCTTTAGTTATTTTAGTTAATTAAACAAAAATAAGAAATGCCGCCTTGGAAACTAGCTTAAAATTGTTTAAAATTAAGTTTTAGTGTAAAAAAAAAAAGTGTGTTTGTGTAATATGGATGTATGTGTCTGTAACATATGCTTTATTTTATTTTATATGTTATACTTTATTTTATATTTTATTTTATTTTATTTTATTTTATGCTAATATACCCTTGATTGATTGATAATGGAGCATTTTAACATGTTGATGCTAGTGTTTCCCTAGTTATAGTGGTGTGTTCATGTCTCTTTAGTACTCTGAGACATTGTGTTCTGCTGAGTCCCACATGGTGGGATTGCCAGAGCGTTCAGAGACTTTCACAGAAGCACACAGATGCTTGACACACACGCTGGCTTTAATGTGGATCAGACGGTATCATCCTCTCGGCAGTGTGTGTGTGTGTGTGCTCTCCACTCATGTTTATCTGCCAACATAATGACACACTGTAAACCGCACGACTGACACTGAGAGTGCTGACCTCAGGCCTGTTATCGTGTCTTATGACCTCTAGAGCAAATGCAGCCTACTGACACACTGAGACATGATGATCATGATGAGAGACAGAGAAACCATGAATGAAGCTGTGCGGCTCATTCTCAGAAAACTGTGCATTAAAATTTCCCTCAGGACCAAAGGACTGCCATAAACAGAGAGAGATACAGGGTTGAAGGTCAGTGCAAAAAGAGATTTATCTAGCAAATATCATTGCATCACACCACATTATTTATTAGTTCATATTGCTGTACTTTGCTCCAAGCACAATCTTTTTTTCTGTAAAAAATAACATGATTTTGATAATGATTTTTCTCTAACAAAGTTGAATTATTGAGCTTAGCAAGAGTCAGGAAAAGTGTTCAAATAATAAAATGCTGATAAAGAGTAAGTATGAAATTATATTTTAATATAATTTGATTAATATGAAATCATAAAATAACTAATAATAAAGAGGGAAAAGTCACAGCATAACAGAGTTTTTAAACAGTTTTATATAAAACCTTTTAGACAGAAAATAGATAGTGAAAGCATGACATTTTAATAAAAAAGCAATACAAAGAAAATGCATGATTTAAATGTAAATAAATTATGCCATATAATTATGATAGGGTAAAACCACTGTTATTATAGTTGATGATAGTTGATTAACTATAATAATAATAATAATATTATATAAAGACTAAACACCTCCATGAGATGCTCCGCATTTGGTTTTATGCTGTTCTTACAATCCAGCATCATATTTCCTCTTCCTATCTGATTTCTCTATGCCATAATTAGAGCATCAAGTTTAACCACTAAGCCAGAACTGATATAATATTCCAACCCCTGATTACAAACTCCCCATGAAAGCCAAATGACAGCATATCAAAGCAATTACTCTTGACAGCTGCGAATCTATATGAAACTGAGACCTTAAAGGACAAAAAGGGTATCGGGCTCAATTCAGTTCTGCACAAACATGCAGACTGGGATTATGAATTGGCATTACAGACATGTAACAGAATGATTTGTTCTTCAATGTTTCATAGTAGGGAATCTCACAAACGACAAAAACAGATATAGCAACTGCAAAATTGAGCATAGTTAGGATAGGAAAATATATAGACATCAATTCTTAAGGCAAGACACTACATGAAAACATTGTTTGTTCATGCACTGCTCAATTTTAAGAATTTAGAAGACTTTTTTTTGTTTCCATAACCTGACTTCTTTCAGACTAGTGCAAAGAACACACCCAAAATACACATTTAAGTATTTCATTTATTAACCTTTATCTATTTGCCTCTCTCGATTTCAATTAAAATACATAATTTAAAGGGGTCATATGATGCAATTTCAAATTTTCCTTTCTCTTTGGAGTGATACAAGCTGTTCGTGCATAGATAAAATCCCTAAAGTTGCAAAGACTAAAGTCTCAAACCCAAAGAGATATTCTTTATAAAAGCTAAGACTTGTCCACGCCCTCCTAAAACGTGTTTAAAACGCCCCCATATGTCTACGTCACTGTGTGGGAAGATTTGCTTAACACCGCCCAAACACACGCAAAGAAATAAGGCGTAACTTTAATTCTCGCTGTAGTATTGTTGTTGACGCCGCGGCCATGTCGTGGAGACGCTGTGTGTTTCGTTGTGAAAGTGAAACTACTTTGTTTGGCCTTCCAAAAGAGGACGATATCCGCTTCATCATGCCTAGAGCTGATCCGTGCTGGTCACTGAGGAAATACATCAACTTCGCGCTGGGATCACCGGATCGGCTTTCACCGTGGACGAAGCGGAGTCCAGCCCGGGGTCGTCACATGTGGTTGCCACAAGCCCGCCGGCCGCTCCTTCGTCGAATCAGCCGGACGCTCCGTTCTCAAGCCCGCTGGCCGTTCCTCGCTCAAGCCTGCCGGCCGCTGCTCACTCAAGCCCGCCGTGTGTGACGCTGTGTTTCGTTGTGAAAGCGAAACTACTTTGTTTGGGCTTCCGAAAGAGGACACAACTAGAAATCAGTTGTTAAGTTGTATTTACAACACTGTTCCAGAACAGTTCAACCCAAATATTCAGATGTGTGCATCAGCTGTGTGGGTGTAATCAGTGCAATGGATGATGGGAACTGTAGTCCGGGGTGACATGTAACAGTCTGTGTAGTGTGAGAGTCAATGTAATGGTAGAATGACCTCTAGTGGCAATTGGCCGGAAGGCCACGGACCGGATTCGTGACAATAATGTTCTTTTTAGCAACGTCATATGACCCCTTTAAAAGATTTTTTTTTCTCCACTTCAGCAGCATTTACACCAAACTTTAAAGATTTATTCATATCTATATTCTGAATGATTTTACTTGTGTGTTTGTTCATTCCTCATTCGCTTAAGCTAATTATTGCACTTTGTCTATTTGCATCTGTCTGTTAAAGCAAAGCCATATACGTAGTAAGGTTTCACAAAATAAAACAGAGCAAATAAAGTGTAATGATATTAATAAAAACAGTATTCTTCCACCAAACATTGTAGCTCCTCAGAATCAGTTGTGGTTGCAACAAAGTGGTTGCCAAGCAACTCGCATACATAAACAAAGTTGTATGTTTGCAGAGTAAATTACAACAGCTTCGAACGTGGCTCAGCCAATCAGAATCAAGGAACGGAACTATCCGTATATATGGATAGTTCCGGTCCTTGAACCATACATCATTGGAACTTTTATTTTTCGGCTTTCAGATTATGCAAAATCACAATTTCAAAAAATGACTCTTATGACTGGTTTTGTGGTTTTCTGTCAGTTTTTTTTTTTTTACACCATGTTTGCCTGTTATTTGGTTAGAATGTGCACTTCTATGGGCCAAATTACTATGGTCAGGCTGCACTAAATGTCAATGTTCCTGCATATGCATATGTCGGTGGTGGCGCTCACCTCCCAGCGTGGCTGAGATCAAGATGTGCGTCCCATATTTCTTGATGATGGTGTCGATGAACTGTTGCGTGGACGGCCGTCGTCCGAGCATCCGCATGCTGCGCTGAAACTCCGGCATCAAGGACAGAGGATTCCGGATCAGATCCCGCCTATCGATGGCCGTGTTCCTCACCTTCCAACGTGCAAACTCCCTACAGAGCAGAGCAGACCATGAGGGATGGTTATTTATTCTTGCATATGCACATGCATTTCAACAGTGCTTTCAAACACATTTACACTAACCACAAAAGTTCATTTAAACAGCAGTCATAGTGGGGTTTTTTTCTCTTGCCGGTAAACACACACTATCGCATACAGACATTGCTTTCTCTAGAGGAGGTAACCATAGCAACAGAGGCTGTTCGAGTACTTTTTATTAGCATCATTATTGGACGGAACATTGACAAAACATAAATACTGTCATTATCAGTTTATTACCATATCACAAATATATAATTACAGAACATTAGTGTTTTATAATACAATAATATTTAATTTAATTGATGCTTGGCTTATTGTGCTAAGATGTGCATGATCACCTCAGCAGATTCACTAAAATTCTCTATAGAAACACCTTGGAAACGTTTTACTTGAAGCCTTTATACTGTATATAATGCATTATAAAATACATTATATTATGCCTTTTAATGCATCGTATAATGCATTGCATGATCTCATGAATAAGGAGAAATGATAAAAAAGAAAGAAAAAAACAAACGATCATGCATTTTAACTTTGGTTACAATTATTTATGAAATTATATAATGCATTACAATGTACAGAATGAATATCTACACAATAATAAGTTATTAGCACTTTACTTGAAACCTTTAAAACCTTGAATAACAAGAGGGTTGGTAAATAAAAATGTTTGCTTTTTGAGTGAACTATTGTTTTAATGTAATTCAGTTTTGTCATGTAATCAGTCAAGACAAAACAAAACAAAAAAAAGTTTATTTTGTGCCATCAGAATTGGATTTCATCTCATATAATCATGTGGCAATCACTTCTGTCCAGTGTGATAGAGGGAAAAACAAAAGCAAAAACATTTTGATATTGAATTCAAATCAAGGCTTTCACAATGTTATCTAATCAGCACGACTGCCAGCTGCGGATCTCGGCTGCTGTCATCGTAACGAAGCCGTGAGCATCAGTCCTGATTTGCCATTGGCTAGATTTTGGTCTCACTAATCTCGCAATTGGTTCGATTAGCATCTCATTTGGCAGCGAATCACATGCATCTAGTTCCTGTAATGAAGTGAAAATTGAAAATCCTTGAGACATGAAATGCATTCACCGAACGATTTGATAATCAGATGAAATACGCTTCAATTAGGAGGAGCCTCAACAGTTGAAACTACTTTTAAAGAAGCATCTATTTTCATAAATGCTGAGTTCAGAGTTGGACACTGGAAATGTCCATTCAGCACCTGTCTAAAGTCTTAAACGTGTTAACATTGGAAAAGTGCCACAGCAGCAGTCACTGCTGAACATCTGCTAACACCTGCCACTCTGTTTGAAGGAGCCTGGACGTTCAGATCAGGAGCTGGAGGAATCTTCTGTCAGGAGATCGCCCTGACATTCACAATTGCTTCATAGATTGTTGTGCAATGTCCACATTCACTGTGGTGTTTTAGGTAAATGCAAGACAGGGTCCCACTTAATATTAGGTGACCTTAATATGCACTTACTATGTACTTTCATAAAAAATTAAGTAAAATTTACTTTTATGTTTATATTGGGTTTATTTCATTTTGATGGCTCTTTAACACATGCTGTTGACTATAAGTAATGTTGCACCTACAAATCTACTAACTCTCATTAGAGTGTTAGTAGAGTATTAGCAGAGTGGTTGGGTTAGGTTTACAATAATTTGACATGTACATGCAAAGTTACTTATAGTCAGTAGTATGTCTGTTGGGAGACCATCACAATAAAGATTTAGCAGATATTAAGCAGACAGTCTACTAAGGGTGCTTTCACACCTGTAGATCGATTGCTTTGTTCCGAAACGGGGATTCAAATTATTACAATGTTGCTTTTTATTCTTGGTGCGGCTCGCTTTCACACTGCAATGTTTCTAAACGGACCAAATTTGTTAATACAAGTCACGCGCGAGTAAACTGTTCTCTCATTGATCGAAGTTCCACGGTTTATTTTCCGGGATTCTGCTTAGCTGTCACAGCTGTCATCCGTCAGGATGGAACGACAACAGTTTTGCGGGCTTATTGTTGTTGGGGTTTTTTTGTTTCTTTTGTAGCTGTCGTTATAATAATTT